TTGATCGCAAAACTAACTGGAGGAAACCCTTTAAGTTTCATCCTCCTTTGTAAGATTGGCATAGTAACCAACCACAAAGCTTCAGCAATCCTGTCAATCATCCTTCCACTGAGTGAGAGCATACGGGTCGGCCAGTCTGGTCCTGTTGGTCAGTGTTTAATTTTTCAAGTAACACTCACAGAGTGAGTGACCTGACATGGTGCGTTCGTAAATTCAGTCTGATGCTCTACACTATAATGAGAGCCCTGTTGGTCGAAGAAACAGAGCGTTCTATTTCTACATGAATTAACGAGCAGCTAAGCTAATCACACATTCACTCTGCTTGGCACTCTGCTGATCCGTCTCCCCAGACAGAGTGCAGAGACTCAGAGAGTCTGATGTGCTCTAGATAACCGAATGATACATTCAGACAGCGCATTGAATTTACGAATGGTCCAGTTTGTGCCAAAGTGAGCTCTGACACTCGGACACTCACAGAATGAATATTTCTGGACACACCACTCGCATCATCTTCCTCCATTGTCTAAAACAAGGCAACAGAAGTTGCTAGCTAGCACTAGGTAATGTTTGTGGAGAATTGTTTTGGCTCCAGCTAAGCCCCGCCCATGAAAAAACATCATACTGTTTACTAAAAATAAAAGGGTCTATATTAATGCCTTAAATGCCCCGGCATGTGGATAAAAACTGCCCTGTTAGCAGTGTTTAAGCTACCAAATGCAGAGTATAGACCAAAATGACTAACACGCTTACACATAGGACGCATGTGCATACTCATTAGTATCATCCAGATGTTGTATTGCATTTCCACTGTTCTACACATTTTATTCCTTCTTCTTTTCTAGTTTGTATTCCCTCTTTGTACATGTCCTGTATCATAGCCAATCTGTGGCCAAAGGCCAGTCAAGATAAAACTCCCGTTCAGCTCTTATTTATATATTTTGACTCAAATAAGAGAGCTGGGCCACAGTAGTGTTCATCTTGGTGGGAGGACGTTGCCTTGAAGTCAGATGTTTAATATCAAGGGTTATCTGTGTGTGTGTGTGTGTGTGTGTGTGTGTGGTGTGGTGTGTCCCCCAGCCTACAGGTCTGCTGTCTCTGATAATGAAATGTCGCATGCCATGTGGCAAAGAGGCATCTAGAGGGAAAACAGGGCTGTTTTTCATTAGGATCATGTATCACTGAGTGCACCTTCTCCTCATTTTGTTCAGAGACACAAAAACATGACGACAGATCCTCATCAAAAGGCACACTGTGTGTCATTACCAGGAAACACCCCGGCCGTCTGTTTGGTGAATCACTGTGTGCCATAGGGATGAAAAATCCCATTTGCACGAACACAGTTTACCTATTACAAAAACTGACACAGTGCAATCCCACGAAAACAGCCCCCTGTGTTGAAACACAACCACCACCACCAGAAAATCTAAAATTATGGTCACTCAAGACAGGCTTCGTGCTCGAGCTGACCCATTTATTTTTATATTTAAGTTCCTTATGTAATGTTTTTCTTTCTCCAACACACGCATCACTAACATCTTCGCAGCGGAGGGAGCAACAGAAGCCTGCCATGATGCAAGTTCTTGCATTTACAAAGTGTTACTATTATAAAAGCTACTACTGCGTACCCTGTAGCAGTGGATCGTTTTTTATCAAAGTAAGATGCTACAGCGAAGACAGCACATTCTGTGGTGTGTACAACAGGCCATGCTAAGATGTGTTTATGTTTAGCAAGTGACCCCTACTCATGAGGCTGACATGCTCATCGCCTCAGCTTGTGAACTGAGCAGCCTGCTGCAGTGTGAGGGAGCACTGAGGCTGGGTGTTTAAAGCCTCGGCGGGGGTTCAGGATCAGTAGCTTTGTTTTGAGTCTCGAAAGGAAGGAAGCTTGTTGGATGTTGTCAGGCCTCTCACTGAAAAAATGGTTTTAATTTCTACTTGTCTCCAGGGTTGAGAATGTTTTGGAAGCTCATGATTTGATGTGAGTCTTTGGTGTCCGATTAGATTCAAAATCGATTCTCGACTGAATGAATAGCAATTTTAGTCTCTGGCTCTCTTCGGCTATCCTCTGTGCTCAACCATTTACTGGAGTCCTGATTCCACTGGAATACAATATGAAATACAAGTGGCAATTAAGATAAATGGTCCACAGGCTTTTTATTTTAAAAAGTTAACTGCATTAATTAATGAATCAATTAATCTGAAAGCACCTCACAGTCTCCCGCCTGTGTTCGAATAACAAAATGAGGGGGTGTGCGTCACTGTGTTGTTTTAAACATTTTGTCTCCAGCAGCGCGACCTCTATGCTGCACCCTTTGCTCCAGGGAAAGCCAAAATACTGAGCGAGCGGAGTGCAGGTTTTTTTTTTTTTTTTGAAGTGAAACAGACTGACAAAGTTTTTTTCTATCCCACAGAGTTGTTTATTGTTTAATGCTGCCATGTTTATCGGTCAGCTGGTCTCATTTGTTTACATTACTGCTGATTGCTGCTCTGCTCCGTTGTCGGCTCTGCCAGCTCCAACCTTAGTCTCCGGGTGATGGCGTACAAAGTGTTCAGGATATACTTCATGTTCATCTCTCAAATGTATTTATGTAGACATTAAATTGAATTAAATAGGCTCATAGGCCTGTCATCAGGGTCTGAAATGAACTCCTGCCAAGCGCCAAATGCAGGTAGATTTTTTTGTTTGGCAAGTAAATCTCAGAAGGCTGTCCGCCACACTGGTGGGTAAATATTTGTAACAAAATACTTATGTGAGTAAAACCATTCTGAGAGTTTCTACTGCATTTTGGTGTCATTTAGGGGCTCTGCTGCTCATAGGTTGCTCCTAGGCCTGTGGATCCCAACTGGTTCAGCCACTGGGTCCAGATTTCTCCTTAGTCAACAGTTCAAAGTCCACACAGTTTAATATATTCAGCATCATACTTGTGTTTGGCCATGTTGTCGAGCTAGTTTGCTGTCTCTGTCAAGTAGCTGTCCGTTAGTCACTCACTCTACAGCAGGAAGCAGCACTTCAAAATAAAAGATATGTGCCGGAAATTCACTGTACTTGACACATTCGCGAGTCACTTGGGGTCCATTCAGAATGGACCCGCGACTCACTTTTGGACTGTGACCCACCAGTTGGGAACTACTGTCCAAGGCTGTCTGTGTCAAACAAAGGCAAACAAACACACGTGCGTCTAATTGGTGCCATATAACTGACCATCTCAAGCTCAGTTTCTCGGCACTGTTTACCATATGGGACATCAGCCGATCCACTAAACTATCACTCACCACTGGTCTGCTGCTACCTAGTGTTGCGCCCATACTTATGAATGCAGTGAAATATTAGCATGGAGGCCCTGTGTCTGAATCAAGACGTCAAACTCTTGCCTCCCACATTGTCAGCAGCAGCGCATTAGCTTCACTTTCCGTTCTTACCTTTCACAATAAAAGCCCCAGTTATATACAGTGCATCGCTGTGTACCAGAGGTAACTTATTCACATATAGACTGTGGTGATGATTTGCTTCAGATTTGGCTCTGGCCTCTTTTTCAATTTTGTATCCAACGTAGTACCTTTCTATCTTAATTAAATGTACTGGAAAAACATATATATGACACAGAAAGGCATTTTTTTATTTTGGCTGGTCAAAAATATGCTTGATTTTTTTCAACTACCAGCCCCCTTAGCAGGTGTATCAAGAAGTTAACTGACCTTTACATTACCCGTTGTGTTTACATGCATGTTTGTCTACCTAAGAATGTCACCAACATGAATAAACAGCAGGTTTTTCCAGACCATTATTGACTTCGGCACAGCGCTTCTTTCTTTCTTTTTTTTTGTCTCTCCAGCCCGCCTACAAAGAAAAATTAAACAATACTTTACAGACAACACAGCATAGCTTACTGGTAGCCTGCAGCTGCACTTTTGGAATGAAGAGGCAGAGTCCTGACAGTCGTTACGTTGCTCGTTTTACCCTCCAACAGCTTCATCGCATCTTCCGCATTGCAGCACATCTAAGCATTGATTTCTTTCCCCCCACCCATACATGTCTCATTTTTCTTTTGTCAAAGATAAAACAGACAGTCTTGCTTTTGGAGCCAAAGAGGAGTGATTAAAAACCAGAGCCCAGCTTTAGTCGCTAATGTTAGAGACCACAAACCAAGCCAGAAATCTTTGTGTAGTCATGGATTTAGACAATTACAAAATTACTCTAACATCACTTAAAGAATATATCAACAATTAAAGGGCAGTGTCTCACTAGGAATGAGAAAAACGCACCCACGCATCTTTATCTTCATTATTATAATCTTTATAGATCACTCTTAAAAGTCATTCAGACAGCTGCAGCTGTCCTCACCAAAACCAGCACAGTGGATCACTCACGTCTCATTTCTCAAATCTTTACACCATGGTCTTGTTTGTCAAATAATGGACTTTAAAAAAAATACTGTTTGTCTACAGAGCTCTGCATGTTCCAGGGCCAAAATAAATTTCTGTTCTGCTACATAATGAACTGTTCAGACCTCTCAGCTGGTCTGGGACGGGCCTGCTTCCTGTCCCCAGAGTCGAAACTAAACACGGAGACGCAGCGTTCAGTTATTCTGCTGAACATATCTGGAGCAAAGTCCCAGAAAAGTTAGGGTGCAATAAATCTCAGTACTTTCAAATCAAGGTTTAAGACTTTTTTGTTTGCTGCTTCCTTGAATTAAATTAAATGTGGGACTATTTATTCATATCTTGCACCGCACTGTATTCCCCTGTTTAATCTCTTTTTCTGATTTATCTTCTTTAATTTCTGTGTCCTTTTATTTTGTCTTTTTATATTGCTTCGTGTTTCTTTTCTATCTAGTCTCAATGCCTTTATGTCTTATGTCAGCACTTTGAACTGCCTTGTTGTTGAAAGGTGCTACACAGATAAACTTTCTTAGCCCTAATACTTTTCACTCCCTCCCAAAACTATTTCCACTGGAAGCTACTTGAAGCTCATGCTGTTATCAATATTCTTTCCTGTGCAGATACCCCAGGTGAGCTACGCCTCCACAGCTCCAGAGCTGAGTGACAACACCCGCTACGACTTCTTCTCACGCGTGGTGCCTCCAGACACCTATCAGGCCCAGGCCATGGTGGACATTGTAAAGGCCATGCGCTGGAACTACGTTTCCACAGTGGCCTCAGAGGGAAACTACGGAGAGAGCGGCGTCGATGCTTTCATTCAGAAGTCTCGGGAGGACGGTGAGTACACTTGGCCTCATATATCATTACTGCAAGTCTAGCAGCGGGCGTGGGAAGATGTTACCCAGTGCGAACATTCTGTATTGTAGAAAATCGGTAAAGCTCGAAGACATGCACGCAAAAATCAATTAGTCAGGTCAAATGTTAGATTTGATCCCAGAACATGCAAACAGCCAGAGGTCGATTACAGACTTTAATATCTACCGTCACAACTCGCAGGATATCTATTTGTTACACATTTGCTTATGATGTGGCTTTAAAGCTCCATTAGATCCAAAGATCAGCTGCAGTCTTACACAACCATTAGTCACCTTCTTCTCCGGCTGTGCAGTGAAAGAAGTACATCAGCAGGAGTTGCAGTCTCCTGTCAGTGTCTGCACTGGACCTGCTCTGCCACAGTACTGCTGTATTGTTATTAAAAATGTATTTATTGATCCTTTATTTAACCAGCAAAGCCTCATTTTCAAGAGTGTCCAGGCCAAGATGGGCAGCAGTAACAATGAGTTACAGACACACAACAGAAGACGGAGAACCACAAAATGTGCCACAATAACACAGTTTTAAATAAATGTGATAATCATAAATAACATTTCTTTTACTATGAAAATTACTTGACAGTGCTCACAGTTCTTAAGACAATCAGGTATTAACTGTACTGTACTGACACTACAGGTCAGAGTTATGCACACAAAATCAGGGCTTTACCTCTACTTTCATTTCTAGGCCCACTAACATATTTTTTTTTTAGAAATAACATTAATATCATGATGTGATTTTGCCAAGAAGGTCATGCTCCTGGATCAACATCCCACATCACATTCCAGGACCAACATTGCAGTCAACCAGTCACAGCCCTCTGACATCATCAGTGTGCTGCTCCTGTGCTTCTTTCCAAATTCCCTTGTGCTTCTTCAGAGCTAAGCCAGTTTTCCAATTTGACGCTAGCACTATTGAATAAAACCCTCAGTAACAACGAATAAAAGCCTTATAAGCTACTGCAAGGTTAGTGAGTTAACTTGCTAACTACTGTAGGTGGGCTACGTTTTTAATAGAAGATTAAAAAGGAGGGAAAAATGTGTTAAGTGCTGGTATTTACAGCTGAAAAATTATATTATCCACAGTCTTTGTCAATTAATATTCTAGCCTATAGCCAAGCTTACTTGTTAGCATAGCCTACCTATGTAGCAAGCTAACTCACTAATATTCTCACCTATTGGCAAGCCTACTTGTTAGTATAGCCAACCTGCGTAGCAAGCTAACCCTTCAGTAGCTTATAAGGTTTTTGTTCATTGTTACTGAGGATTTTATGAGCTACTGCAAAGTTAATTAGTTTAGCTTGCTAACTACATTGGCTATGCTAACAAGTAAACTTGCCAATAGACTAGAATAGTAGCAAGTTAGCTTGCCAATTAGGTAGCCTATGCTAACGAGTATGTTTTTAAATAGTCAATTTGAAAAAGGAGGGAAAATGTGTTAATCACAGGTATTTACATCTGAAAATTATATTATTATCACCACTCTCCGTTAATGAAGAATATTCTAGCCTATAGGCAAACTTACTTGTTAGCATAGCCTACCTACTTAGCAAGCTAACTCACTAACCCTGCAGTGGATTTCAAGGTTTTTGTTTAATGTTATTAAGGATTTTGTTTAATTTTACTAACTTACTTTTGGAAGCTTAGCTCTGAAGAAGCACAAAGAAGCAGCACACTGATGATGTCAGAGGGTTGTGATTGGTTGATCATTGGTTGAACATTGCATGTTGGTCCAGGAACGTAATGTGGGATGTTGATCCAGGAACATGTCCTACTTGGCAAAATCACGTTGTGCAACATTGATATCACCCTTTTTAACAGTGCAGAGACAGATGAGAGTGCTGTTAAAAACTATAGATTAAACATGGGAACTAACACAGGACAGGAATGCATTGTGCTTCATTATAAGGACACTGAGACGTCTGAGCAGGAGCTGCTGGCTTGAAATGCAACACAGAATTAAAAATCTTCTAATGGAAGCGACTTGTTGTGTGGATCAATTTGTTTCTACTTTACCAGACATTTCTTTGATCCAGCACTCTCTTCATCAGGCACAGGGATGTGCAAGCCTTTTTTCCCCTGTTTTTCATCATTGGGTTGCCACGGTGAGGATATCTTCTCATAGTTAACTAATGATGACACCTGATTAATCTTTAAAGATTATTTTTTGGTTTTTGCCTTTATTTGACAGGACAGATTAAGCATGAAATGGGCAGAGAGGAAGGGGGTGACATACAGCAAAGGGCCACAGGTTGAAATCAAACCCACAGCCGCTGTGGTAAGGACATTGCCTTTGTACATGCGCTGAGCTATGGGGCGCCCAATGACGACACCTGATTATTGATAATGCTGGACATTAACCAAGAAAAGACATGACATTGTCTTTAGAGTGCTGAATTAAGTTACTGCTAATGCAAACCAAACATTTCCTTCTGCTGCGGCTTCACATTCAAAGTATTTCACCGTCAAAACAAGAGCTGACCTTTATCATGAAGTAGTCACAGGAGATGCATTGTGTTTGTCAGTGAGATTAGCACTACAGCTATCGTTCGTGACAAAATACTAAACAAGACAACAGTCATTTTCAGGATGTGTTGACAACAGATCAGTTTGAAATATGCCAGGGAGCAATGGAACAGTCAGGAGCAGCCAGAGTGAGCTGTTAGATGAAGAGCTGCAGGCGACCGACTGTGCACTTCCAACTTCTTAGTGATGCAACAAGCTCCTTTTACTTCCAATGTTATCAGGTTTCCTATTACCATTGGGTTTAAATCAGAGATATTGCCAAATAGGCACTTTTGTTTTTGACTTTGACACCAAATCCTCCGCCTGTCTGTTAACTCTCCTTACTCTCATGACTTGAAGGGAAATCTGACTCCTGCTACTCTTTGCTGCAGCTCTGCTGCTGCTGTACGGAGCAAACACTGGTTAAAATGTGAGCTTGTCTGCTTTGTTGATGACAGTTGAAAAAGTCTGGTTTTCTCTGTCCAGTGTAGCAGGGTATTGGCATCTTTCAACCCTTTGTTTTGGTTCTTCTGCCCAAACACAGACTGTACATGTTTGAGTGCCATGGCTCTCATCACCCGACCCACCAATATAAAACTGCAGGCAGCCATTTCCTAACAAGCTAAATGAACACCACCTGCCCAAAAATGACACAGAGCTGAGTTGAACTAGTTTTTGCTCAACCTTGAGCAACTAGCAGACGTTTTCTGAGGAGTTGGTGAAGATTGACTCCAATGGGTTGCTCATTTTGCTTTGAGTCTGCTGGATGTGTATGTAGGCAGTTGTTTGCAGCAATTAGCCTGAACAACATGATAAGTTGACAGTATGCTAGGGTTGTCTTTCAGAGTTCGTATTGAGTTTTGGAGTTTTTATTTCACCCAGTCATCAAAAATTGCTTCTTACACCAAATTAAGAGTACAAAACACATATGCTTACATATACCGAACCAATTTAGGTTTCAGGATTGGAACCATGTCTTTGCTATTATCTATTTAAGCAAAAGACAAAGATCCCTATGTGCACAGTTGTGCTCAGGAACATTATGTTTAGCCTTAGAGACTAGAAGGTTTAATGGCACCCCGGAGGAGGGCAGACTTTGTTTGTTGTGTAACAATGAGTTTCATTTTACATGTTATTGTACTGTATATGGAGACATATGGGATCTACTTTTCAGTAAAATTACTTCTATTTATGTTGATTTGATTGGATTACCATGAAAAATAAGAATTATTTTTTAGAAGGAGAACCTTTTTTTGGCAGTATTTGTTTGCCAGGCCTGGGATAGAAGGCAAAGTACTTTGTCTGGAGACTGACCAGTAACAAAACAAGTACTTTGGACTGATCACTGCAACATTATTGTGATGGTGTCTTGTAAACCCACGAGGGTTGGGCACATGTTTGTGTGCATGACATAAAATAAAAATCAATTCAATCAGTCATTAGAAATGGTTTTGATTTTATTTCAAAACCATTAATCCCAGTAACCCAAGACGAAAACCAACATCTGACAGACCTCAGTGTGTTTAAAAAATCAACTGTACGGGTTCAGACAGCCTTTTGTGGTAGAGAGAAAAAAAGAGGCTGTATTTAAGAAATAGAGCTTTTCCCATAAATATCACACAGAACACAATTTTTTCATTTGGCCCTCTGTTCAAGGCTTTGTATCCTCTTCCTTTTGTGTTTACCCCAATCCAACAAATTACTCTATTGAAGGAGTTCCAAGGGAGTTTGAGTGTTTTGTTTGGCAAAGTACGAGTGTAATTAAAAGGACGAGACTTTAAGGTGCCTCGGTCATGTCTCCGGCTTGCACCGTGCCTGGACAGAATGAGACCAGCTTGGCTGTGGTTGCTCATCAATTATGTCTGTCACTCTCTGAGCACTTAATCGCCTGGGCGCAAGTCAGGGGCTGCTGAGGGATGGGAAAATAAGTGATGCCGGGTAAAACATGTTAGGGATTTTATCAGGGCTGAAAAATCAGGAAATGCACATCTCTGCAAATTCTGATCTATCTGATGAGTCAAATACATTACCTAAGGTCTGAGGTGCAATTATTTTAAAGTGTCATGCATGGGTGAAACAATGAAAACACTGCTAATAACCTACAGTGTCACACATTACTTAGAGATTATATTCAGTGCAATCAAAGACAATCCATAACAGCGCTAAATGATCATCTCCACCTGATGAGTTGTGCTCCAGGAGAGAACTTTAAAGGGTAAATCCATGATTAATGTTGCTTTTTGTCCAGTTTCCAAATCATGGAACTCGTTTGCTGCCTTAAAAAGAGGAAACGAATTATATGCACATCACTTAAAGATGCAAGGCTTTTTAAAACCAACATTAATGAACAACTAATACCTGAACACAATCCAAGTCGCACATTTTTTCAAATAAACAATGCTTTGATCCCACTTAGCTGCCTTTAACATTTCCATAAAAAAAAAATCCTTATTTTGCAGA